TGCTCGTTTTTTGCAGCCTGGTATAATTTACCGTCCTTTTCGCAATGCAACTCTCCTCCTGTTCCGTTCATAGACTCCTCTTTCCCTTCCACGTCCTCCTCCTTTCGGTTTCCGCCTTTTCCCGCAGAGGCACAGTCTTCACAAATCCAATTATCAGGAACCTCGTCGAGCTTTAAACGCATGCAGTAACTGCAAAAAAAAAAACAAGTTACACCGACGGATGAAAACAGATACGTAAAACAAAGATAACCGAAACAGGAAGTGATCAAAGAAAAGAGATTGTTATAAGTGGATCATTACATGTGTTCCGCTCCAACTCCACATACGCTACAGACAGCAAGCAACTTCTCTCGTCCGAGATCCCCACAGATATCGCAGATATTCACCTGTTTAATCCGTATAAAAAGTTCTCTCAACTTTCATTATCAAAACAACTTCAATTCCGCAAACATCAATAGCTATAAGTAATGATGTTTCATCTCTTACTTCCTCCTCGGAAGAACGTGACTCGTCGTTATTTTTCGGGGCTATAGCTTCATCTCCTTTGTAAAAACTGTCGCGGGGTTGAATGAGATTGGAAAGCACCGTCATCTGATCTCCTTGCAGTGATGATTCCACTTGATCTTCATTCTACAAAATTCAAAAAAAAATAATCAGATTCTGTATGCCAAAAAGAAATCTATCGACCAAAGTAATATGATTGCGTCATAAAACCTTTGCAGATGCAGAGTTTCTGAAGGAGGATGTTTCTGTGAGATCGGATTTGTTCGAGTTCTTGGGAGATGAAACAGAAGCAGTTTTAGAAACGTTTTCCGGGTCCTCCTGAGCGTTTGGATGTGAATTCGAATTGGAATTTATCGATAAATCAGCTTCGAGAAGTTCATCCGCCCTTCCACTCTGACAAGGCTTCGACGACTCCTCTTCCTTCACGCAAGATTCGTCGCTGGAGAGATTCATGTTTTCAAGACCTTTGTATGAAACTCTGTTTAACAAAATGTATGATCAAAGGGAATTACGCACGGCAATAGAATGCGAATCCAATGCCTACGGAATTTACTTGAATTCACGAGTAGCCAGTTTCGTCACATCAAAGATGAACCCTATGATTCGAAACAGAAACAAATACTTTCCTATCTGCATCATCGCCGGATTCTCCGGTTGTGCCATGACCAAAATTTCATCGTTTCAATCCTCCGATTACTAATTCCAAATACGACCAAGATATTGAATATACTAATCGATGAAAAGTACATGAATCCGAGGGAGATAGACCGATTCAATCCGATTCTGCCATTGTCAAAAACAGCCCCGAAGAGGACAGATTCTCGATGAAAATTTGAGGCGATCATTATAACACTGACCCCAAGTGCCATGGTCCTAACCACAATTAGACAAGCATGGACTCTAAATTGGCATTGGAGAGAACATTAACCCACTGATCTAATCATCCTTCTCACAATTAAACGGCCACCCTTTTCACCAAAAACGCATAGTCAAGCAAAACAGGAGTTCAAGGGCTAACCTTCAAACGCAAAAAAACAACGACAAATACAAACCACATAAAGAAGAGGAGGAGAATACGTACGCGAACGGAGATAATCAAAGGGGGGTGGGGGTGATGAAGCAGAGGAAGAAGGCAGAGAGATTTATAGGGGGAGAAGAGTCTCGTCACGTTCACTTTCTTGCCTTATTGCAGGCCTTGCCTCCCTTATTTGCTATATCCTCCTCATTAATTCTCCCCTCTCTCTCAATTCTCAATTTATGGAAAAATATTTGATTCAGTTTGATTTTATTTATTTGGTTGAGCAATGTTTGCTTTTTAAGGATGTCTGGATTTTTCCCCCCCTTCCCCTATTTTTTTTTTTTTCCTGTATGAACTGTGACGTGGCATTTCTTGTTATCCGACACAATCTATGCGGCGTCGTTTCACTCTGTGGTCAGTGGTCATTGCCCCTAAGTCGGTTTAGCTTCTCCTGGCCAATCCCGACCGTTGGATTAGATTTCTTTGCATATCAGTGTTACACGTGTTTTATTTGGAAAGATATTTCCACGTGGCTTCCCATATGCCATGAAACATTAACCAATATAGGTTCCACACGTAGCGTGGACCCCATGCCATATCTTATTTGGTATGTGATTTTTCCCTTCAAAAAAAAGAAAGCCGGGGTTTTTTCATAAATGTATTTTCTATATTTGTAAAAAAGATCTCTCAATGTCCATTTTTGTAAAATGGAAAGATTCACATAGTCAAAGAATGGCTTAAATGACAGATAGTGAGTCAACTTTGAATTACAAAAACATAAAATATATATAAAAAAACCTTGAATTCCAAATAAGGACAAGTGGTTTCCCCATATGCATACACACACATGGTCGTCATGCCTTTCTAATTGGTTTTACTTATTCCCTCAAATTTTCTGGCAGGCACTGACATTCCACAAAAAGAAAAACATACTATGAACATCACTTTTAAGATTTTTTTATTTTTTATTTTTCAGGAATGTATACATTAATTCTTTTAATGTAATCATCCTTTTCTTTTTTTAGAAGAATCACAAGATTATGGTACTGTAAATTTAGATGTCACAGATAAATCATATGTAATCAGTATATAAAAGTTCTATGTTATTATTGTTTCTAGGAAATGGGCATTTTCCAAGCTTTGACTGGTCCAAAATTTAATCATGAATACAAAAGGGAAAAAATCTAACTGGATACTGGGTATATCAAATCCATGCATTGGCTTTAAGCAAATATAGATATTTTCCCAATTCGAGATATCATATTTTTCAAAATATAGAAAAGATTCCACCATCAAAGGTTAACCTACAGTTTTAGACTGAAATAAATCGTTGATTTTCTGGATTTCATTTTATTACTACGGAATCCCAACCGCAACTGTATATATATAACTGTGATATCTAAGATTTTCGTCTCCGTAATCTTTTAGCTGTAAATGTGATTGTAAAGCATAAACGGAGGAAATATCATGTATGGGCCTACAAATATAACGGCCCATTTAGTTCGATTACGAGCCATATTATACAACCCATTACGGCCCATATTGGGTTCAAAAGAACAACTAAATACGGGTTTATATTTAATCTTTTTTTGCCAATCGCCGTTTTTTTTTTTAAGAGAAAAACAACCAGAGAGCTAGCGAAGTCCAAGTGGAACAATTGCGCTCTCATTTCAAAGTTAGGCCCACGAGACAAGGCCTATTGACCGTCAGATCAATTCCTTTTAAACAATCGACGGTCCATATTTCTCTGTCCGCATTGTGATATTCGCAGCAATAACTATCCGAAAAGATGTGCGGTCGCAAATTCTCCATCCAAAACCAAATGAAGAGCAGAGCATCTCCGGCGATTTCACCCGCGTTCTCCGCCTGAGCTGTCTCATGCCATCCATGGAGCTTCCTTTGATTTATTCTTCTACCTTCAGACTAGGCTCAACCTCTTCTTCTTCGTCTTCTTCCTCGTCCTGGTGTGCCGGACGCAGTGTCGTCAGCAGTAGCAGAAGTTCTAAGATTTTCGATATCCCAGCGAGCTCGAGGTACAGATTACGTCGGTGGAGGAAGTTTAGTAAGATTCTACGCTTCAATGGAGTTGAGATAGAGCGATCTTTCTGCGTGATGGCCTCGTCCGCCGGACAGAGCAGCGGCGAAGTGATCGATGAGGGAGATGGAGGCGCGGCGCACGGGTTGGCCAGACCGGCTGATGAGGTCACCTCCGTCGGTGGATTTGGAGGCGGCTCAGCCGTTGACTTTACGGTTTGGGATAAGATTGGCGCCGTGGTTAGGCTGAGCTATGGAATTGGTGAGCCAGTAGTGGTCCAGAATTTGAATTTTCCGCTAACTTTTGTTGCCTGGGGTAGTTTCCCGAGTGAGAGCTGTTTCATTTAGATTCTCGTTGATTACGTAATCTCAATGTTGGAAATTTTGATGGAATCGTGCGAGAGTTTCTAATTGTGGAATTTGGGAATTTTGGGTAAACAGGAATATACTGTGGAATGGCTCTAGCGGGTAGATTCATATGCGATATCGCCGGAATCGATTCGATGGGAGGTTTCAATCCGTCGCTAGATGCCATTATAGCTGGGCTTGGCTACGCATCTCCTCCGATCATGGCACTCCTCTTCATTCTTGACGTAACTTCAACACTCCCGTTTTGACGTTATCCGATTTTCCTCTTTCCTGTTTCATTATTGAAGATCACAAAATTAGTGGAAAAGATTGTACTTGACGTATCTGGGAGACATTTGAAAAGGGTTTGCTTTGGTGTTAGGATGACGTTGTGAAACTGTCGCCTCATGCTCGAGCGATAAGAGATGTGGAAGATGAGGAGCTTCGGAGCTTCTTCCATGGAATGTCAGCTTGGCAGGTGGGTCTGCACAAACCTTATTGGAAAGTTTTTAACTTGATAAATCATCTCTCTTCAATCTCAAATACCAATAACCGATTTTGCAAACTGTTTTTGTAGTTTATACTTGTAGTTGCCGCGAGTTCAGTTGGAGAAGAGCTCTTCTATCGTGCCGCAGTTCAGGTGCACACATATCATGAACACCCATTTGACTGTCCCCTTGTGAATTTCATGTCAAGATTGTCTCTTAGATCTGAAGGTTAAGCTTGATCATGCGTTTGGACGTTTGTCCCCTGCATTTACAGGGCGCATTGGCTGATGCATTCGTAAGGGGCACACATCTTATCTCCGATTCTCGGGGAATGGTGTCTCTGGTATAGTTTCTGTTCTTTCTCGATTCCTTCACTCTCATATATTCTTATTCCTATCTCCTTTCAATTGATTCATATGTGAATACATTTTATTTAGACTGGATTATTGCCTCCCTTTGTGCCGTTTGCTCAAGCATTTGCATCCGCTGTCACGGCCGCTCTCACGGGTTCTCTCTATTATATAGCTGCATCCCCTAAAGGTTAATGATCATTTCATTCATAATCCCTCATGGATTTATCTCTCTTCAGAAAACACAATCCTTCATCTTTCTTCCTGATGTATTTTTGTCAGATCCAACGTACGTCATGGCTCCGGTCTTGAAGTCACGCTCTGGTCGTGACGAGCTGAAAAAGTTGTTTGCAGGTTCTCTCTGAAAGCATAAACAAACCAAGTGTAGACACATAAACCTTAATATATGTTTTACTGCCAATAGATACTGAGACGCTCCAGCCTGGTATGAGCGAAAACAGATGAAGAAGATCTACTCTCCTCTTCTCGAGGGGCTTCTGGCTCTGTACCTCGGGTTTGAGTGGATTCAGGTTAAATTCCTCTTTCTGCATCTTTTTCTTGTCTCCCGAGTAATTGAATCTCACGTGGAAACTCATCCGCCTCAAAACTGTTGCAGACAAACAATATTCTCGCACCAATTATCACGCATGGGATATACTCGGCAGTCGTATTGGGAAACGGCCTCTGGAAGATACACTACCATCGGCAAAGATTTCGGCAACGGGTACGGCAGCTTGAAACCGAAGGTAACAGCTCAAGATAAAACCATGCAGTATATCATCCCTTGTTAAGTTTTGTATATCATCCCTGTAAGAAGCCTCCATTCACCTGTATAACACATACGAGGATCTAGCCCAAAGAACAAAAGGTAGAAGCAAAGATTTGTATAGAATCATGATAATCAGTATATAAGCTATGAGAATTCTCAGACATCTGATGAAGACTCTAATATTGGTCGGTTTATGGAATCTAAGCAAAGAAGGAAAGTTTAGCATATAGGGTAAATATGAAAATTAGCTCAGTCTTGTTCCAGTTGCGAGATGATCTTGACGAAGACATCGAAGCCTTGGCACATGTCTGTGAGAAGGCAGTACTCGTTCTTTGCATGGTACGTTGCCATTAGACCTGCACGTTTGTCCGAAAATGACACTGGTAAGATACGAGAAACTCTGTTACTAAATGTTGGCGGAACAGTTGAGAACGTCAACGAGTTTTGTACCATATCCTGCGGTCTGAACGTCAAAGCCTTCATCCTGCCCAACAAGACAGACGAAGATGAAGATAGATATAATACCGGCATATTACTTAGCCGAGAAGGTAATCGCCATTTTCAGGAACAATAAAGAAGATTATAAGTTTAGGGTATATGTACGAGAATTACCTTGAGGTCACGGATGAGGGGCAAGGTTCCAGTGATGGAATAAGGCTTAACATGCCCGACGACTTCCTCTGTCGATTTGCACAGAACGTGATAGCCACGGGAATCAAGATTGCAAGCAACTCCAGCCGATCCCTCGTCAAAGCTTAGAGTTAGCCTGCCGGTATAGGACGATCAGAGAAAGAAGAAGAAGCAGGGAGGGAGGGAGGGAGAGAGGGAGAGGGAGAGAGAGACCTTCCTGACAGATTCTCATCAGGAAGGACATATTTTGAAACAGGGCCACGGGTGGGAAGCTTGTCAAGGTTGTCGTTTATGTCATCTACATACTCTTGCAGCTTCTTCATCACTTCCTTTAAGCTGCAATCAAGAAAATCATCAAACCCTGATCCAAAAACAGAGACACCAATAAGGAAGGCGCAACAACTTACTCGTAGAAAGGAGTCAGCCTGCTCCACAAAAACAGAGTTGCAAAAAAAAAAAAAAAAAAAAAGGCAGACAGAGATCCTATATGCTGATAGTCTTAAGACAGTGAAATTACAAACATGACCTGACATCACCGCTGACTGTGCATTCTCCGGGAATCTGATTAATTCCGCCTCCTGGATCTGCAGAATGACAGAGAGAAAAAAAACGCCCAAGAAAGTTAAGGAAACACACCTGGGCGATTCCTACCTATTAGCGCATAAAGATGCTTCTTTTATGTTCATAACATACAACACCACTGGGTGGGTTTCACTGATAGTCTTAAGACAGTGAAATTACAAACATGACCTGACATCACCGCTGACTGTGCATTCTCCGGGAATCTGATTAATTCCGCCTCCTGGATCTGCAGAATGACAGAGAGAAAAAAAACGCCCAAGAAAGTTAAGGAAACACACCTGGGCGATTCCTACCTATTAGCGCATAAAGATGCTTCTTTTATGTTCATAACATACAACACCACTGGGTGGGTTTCATGGTAGATGGTGTTGCAAATCCGTAAACTTTCTCTTGTGGGTGTGGTGGGAAATCTCTGTAGAACCGAGTTTGGATTTCCTTGAGCGCTTCCATTCCTAATTCCATCGCATTTATAGCCTGCATTATTAAACGACGTATCAAAACATTGCCTTGCATTTGTGTAGTAGATCAGATTCCAAACTGAGGAACAGAAGGGAGTTTCTTTCAGGACAAAGGTTTCATTTTTTATCTTTGAAGAAACTAGAGTGATCCAAAAGTGATCTTAGAACACAAAAAGATGCAATGACGAACTGACATGAACACACCTTGTGAGCTAAACCACTGTGGAAAAGCTTTCCGGTAACATGAAGCTTCCATGGTAGCATGCCACCAGTTCCGATGCATGGCTGCTTGTCTGCCGTGTCAATCCAAAACCTTCAATGACAAAAACTACTTCTGATCAATAATCGGAAATGATAACACATTCTCATCCAAAAATTTCAGAATAAGACAGGATAGAACTTTACAGGGGACCAGATTTGAGCTTATCAAGAAGCCTGTCTTTCACGAGTGCATCCACGCCAACACCTGTAATGGCGGAGTTCTCTTCGTTTGCAATGAAAACTGCCACAACGGTCGACTTCAACGCTGGTTTGGTCTCACCTAGCCTCTTCATGAGCTCCGCCACAAGTGCAACGTGACCCAGACAATCTGTTGTTCCGCGACCTCGGAGCTTATCACCATCTATGCTTAACGTAAAAGGATCAAATTCCTGGAAATGACATTGAGATTATTGTCACTACCAATTCCACACTCCAACAAAAGCAGAACTTATCAAGATAAGATGTGGAGGCAACAAATGTAGATCAGAGAGACATAAACCCTCGTCAAAAGATCAATTGCTGTACCTAAAAATTGGATCTTTAATCCATTCAGAATCTCAGTGATCATCTCGGATTTGAAACGAACAATCTCAGTACGAAGTTTTATTGGATGAAATAGTCGGAGTTCAAATTTCGGGTTTCCAATCTCGCTAATCAGACATAAAATAAAAAGAAAATGATTCACAATAGCGAACCCCTAATAGCGATCTCAAAAAACTGCTCAGATAACCCTCTGAACTACAAAAGATAAAGACCCAAAATTTAGAACAATCGTTATCAATTAATGGGAAAATGATCGGAGCCCAGGATAGCAATTTGCCCTAGTTATAACGGGTAGAGATCAAAATCATGAAATCGGTTCCAGAAACATTACCCACTCATCAGGATTGGCGGTGACGACGTCCATGTGCATTCCGACAAAAGACAAGATCTTTCCTGGGACGGTGCCAGGGTACTCGACGATGAGATTTCCCCGGCGACGATGATAAGTAACGTGGTTAATCACGAGGGGACCACCTCCGGTGTCTGTGCTGTAAGGACGGAGACAGTCGAGCACATGATTGACGATCCTGTCCTCCTCCGGGATCAGCTCCGGCGGATTGTTCTGCACGAACTTCGATTCTCCGATGAGTTTCGAGAGGAGAGAGACGAAGGACTCGTTGCTAAGAGAGCCTAGGGTTTTGATTACAGCGTTGGAAGACGAAGAAGAAGAAGAAGAAGAAGAAGCCATTGATGGACGAGTTTCCTTATTTTCCCCAACAGAACAGTAAGAAACGCTTTGCTTGTATCGTCGAAGAATTTTGGCGAAGCTAAATATGCCTGAGAGCCCATAAAATAATAATAATAATAATAATAATAGTAATATCTCCACACATTTTGCAATAAAAATATTTTTATCCATGTAACCATCTAAATATAGAAAAACATTTGAACTCCGACCAAAGTCCTTCCCTCTCAAACAGACTAGTTTGAAACTTCTAGTCGATTTTCAAAAATATTCACATGGAAATATTTCTTTTTTTTATACGGTGGATATCCGCCTTCACGATCCTTCGGATTGAACACCGTTCGATTCTACAGACTGAACGATATCGTGCACAGTAAATCTTCCGATTTCGCGCAATAATTGACAAACTATGCGAAACAAGTAAACTAGATGAAACTGACCGGTTCAGAAAAAAACTCAGATCCAAACAAATCGAACTTAAAAATTTTCATTATATGAGTTGGGACTTTCCACACATGCCATATTTCAAACTCAACTATCTTCAGAACCCCAAGAGAGATGAATCTAACTAGAAATAATTAAATCGCATGGTTAGTAATATTAAACTAAATCGTCCGACGCATTTTTTTTGCATATATATATAAGAATACGGCAATGAATATATATATATATATAGGAATGGTGTTCATGGGGATGCGGACTTGCTGGGTGGGGTGTGGGTGACAGTGTAAAAGGCCCATCTCACTGAATCTGATCATTGACTGCTCCTCTCCGACATCTCTCGCTCATTCATCTTTTTTTCTTTTTTATGGTATTTCTCTCTTTCCTATGCATACTAAGATTTTTACTTTTCCTCTGTAACGTTGCATATGTATCTATATATGCATATGTATACGTATATATACAAACAAATCCGTATCTTAGTGTTTTGCTTTTAACAGGAAGAATCTTGGTCGGCAACAGTATGTATGTCCTCTTTAGTTTGTCTCATTACTCCACACAGAAAATACGGAATACGTTTTGTAAGAAGAGAATCCCAACTCCTTTCTCTTTTCTAACTCAGTATTACCTTTGAAGAATTCGTATCAACACCCTTCAAAATCAACCAAAAATATATATAAAAAGAGGTCAGACGAACCATTGAGCTTCTATTAAATACGATGAATAAATGTTCAACATATAATAACCGGTCTTTAATAATTTGAAGCAACCCTAGAACGAAAATCGTTCTTGGTGGTTGTACCAAAACAACCCTAGAACGAAATGAGAAGGGAATGGTTAATAACATGAAATCTACCAAAGGCTCTTTTATTTTATGGGTTCTTTAAAAAAAAAAGAGGAGGGGACCAAAAGAAATAACAGAACTCTAATGGCTTAGTCTGAACATTTTAGCTGTCTAGACTCTGAATTTCTCATGTGGGGGTCCAAGACAGGATACCGTCAAACTTTATTCGTGCCATTTTATTTCATTACAGTGAATTTATTATATAGTTTGTTCTCATAAAACAACACAAAATAAAACAAGAGTAATAACGATAAAATTTAGAAAAGTAGATATATTGTAGAAAACATTGTGGTGCCAACGAAAATCTCAGTATGATATTACATGCAACGGATTAAAAGCAACCCAAATGGCCATATGGGATGCCCTACCAACATGCACATGTGTTCACTTCTTTCAGGTGGTCCTAAAATCTTTGAACCCTATACATTGTCCATTTACTGTTTCACTGCATCATTTGAACTGTACACCTGACCTATTTACTTGCTCCGTACTGTTAGTTTCCCTTAGACGCCATCTTCGCGTGAAAACCGTATGCAGGGGCCATATTCGTGTCGTACCTCATGAATCTCAAACCGCTTCGGGAAAAATGAACATTTTGTTGTGGCGCTAGCTACCATACCATATACATATATATAGTACAATCTTGCAATGTTATGTTCATAGATAATCGTATATTTTCTAAATGGTGATTTTCACAATGTCTGCAATCTTACAAGGTCATAAAAAAATATGAATTTAACTATTCTTTGCAAATCGGCTTCACATACCGTGTTGTCACACATATTATATTCAAGCAAATAGACCCGACGGATATGCTATAATTTAACCTCAAACAATATGAAACACGAAAGTCCAGAGATAAGCCATGGACTATGACATTCCACTGCCATAAACATTCATCTCTCTCTCTCCCCAACCCAAAACCCTAATCTTCTCTGTGTTTCTTTTGATTCCAAAAATAATATAAAAGAGGAAGCTACCACGGTTAAATTTATTTCCTCAAATTCCACAAAATGAATATCTTCATTCCACTTTCCGATGTTTCATGGTACTGAAGCACGCCAGTTTTAATTATTGAATAGACCCTATATATGTCTCTCAATGATCAACCGTACAATATCGACAGATTTTCTTATCATCAATAAAATTTCTATTATGTAATCAGACATGACATATTGAAAACAAAGTATACATTTTCGTTTTGATAGGCTGTTCATCTATAAATGTTTTTGCATTACTGACCGACCACCGATTTCAAAACCGAGATCCAAATAGAAAATTGGCAGATTCATCTCTAGCTTTCTTTGATCCTTTGCTGACAGGCAATTTAACAATCACATAACGAAAATGTAGAGCATCAAAGAGAACCAACAATCACAAAGCAAATTCAGGCAAATTGTATTCAAAACAAGACATGTGAAGAACCTTTATATATTAACACGAGTCCTCGATGGCTGTCACGGAGGAGCCATGGCTTCTTTATGCCCTAGCCGAAGTTCAAGATCAGGCTCCTCTTCCGTACGTATCTCTTTGGAGTTATACTTGCTTTGTCCATTCAAATCAACGCTTGTTTCACCGATATGATCGATGAACTGTAGGTTCGTATCTCCGGCTGAAGCTTCCAGAAACTGTGGGATCTCGGCTGGAAAATCCAACGGCGGGAATCCAAAGTTACACGACGGAAATAGAGCGCTTGAATCAGGAGAGGACGTCGTACCAACGACTCCACAGAGACTCATGTCACCGGAATTACCATAAATGCCACTAGGGTTTGTGAATTGGTAGAAATGGCGCAAACCCTCAACGTTATTAGCTGAGGATTGGATTATTAGAGTGGGAAAAGGCGGAGCAAGAGCCACAGGGGGAGTGTGAACCCTAGCGGCTCGGTCGCGGCGGTGGACGTTCATGTGACCGCCTAAGGCCTGAGCCGACCTGAACTCTTTCCGGCAGAAATTACAAGTGTAAGACCTCGGAGGCCAAGTGGTTCCGGCGATGTTTCCTTTTATGTCTTGTTCGAAAGCCTTGACTTCCCAAGATTCATCATCGTCTTCCGAGTCATCTTTTTTGTGATAATTTCTAGGGTTCCACATCCATGCACCTTTGCTTCGGTGTAGAGTTCAGGGATGGGGGCTCTTTGGAGAGATGTTTCGGCTGACAAGAAGATGGGGTTTGATAATAGATGATGATGATGGTGTCTCTCTACTTGTTGTGGATTATTAAATACGCGATGGACCCAAATTTCGCTTTATTTTTTATATTTACTTTTCTCGAAGAACAAAAAAACGTTCTTAACAGGTTGAAATTTCGTTGATAATATGAATTCAACCACGATTTTAACATCTAAAATTATGAATCTATGTCGTGTGTATTACTTTTTTTTTATAAGAATTTAGACTGATTATGGAATATAAAGGCAACATATCAATAGTCTGGTGATCAAGGAGATAACATAATTTTATCCAATAATAACAAGTCGATCCTTTACCTAGAATAACAGGACAAAAAGTCAGTCGAGTGAAACGTGACTTTATAGTATATAATGTTAATGGATTGATTTGTATGTGACTTGAGATTCTCACATTTATAAAATAGCGAATACGGGGTTTCTCGTTGCAAAGAAGAGAAGAATAACATTCTGACCTTATGCATGTGGGATGGAAATCTTCTTGTGTAGGGACCTTTTTGAATTATTGTACACCTTTATATAAATACAACAGGACATATATATGTTCTAACATATTGTGTATGTGCAATACGGAACTTTTGGCGTTATGCATCCAAAAGAAAACAAGAGGATGGAAAAGAAAATACAATAAAAATATATATATATATATATATATATATATATATTAAAGAATTCAGACGAGATATGGTAACAATGTATATAAAGATAAAAAGAAGAAAGTTGGGACTTTTTGTTTCATATGTTAAGATCCAGCGTTGTGTGATGATCACCGCAAAGGATTCTATTGTGAGAATCTGACACAAGAGTTGTGTAGCCACTGTCACATAAACACCAAATTAGATGAGTATCCTAAGAACGATATATAATATGTGATGCGTAAATAACACACACACACACACAAGTATATATGCCTTTCCCTATCTACATTCAGAGACAGCAATTCATGATTATATATATATATTTTTTTAGTTTACAAAACTATTACTAAGATAGTTTTGTTCTTTGGGTCGAAAAGTAGCAAATTAATGGGCTTCTGATTTGATGTGATGTGATTAATGTGATAAAAAAAAATACTATTAGTGGATAAGTGTTAATGTCGTCATCGGATGCACGCACACAAACGTAGCGGCGACCGAGAAAAAGGTTTTTTATTTAAGATTAGGGTGGTGGAACAATGAACGACCCAAACCCCACTTTTCCGAGGAAATTAGTAATTTTAATTTTCTAAATTAGAGATAATTTAATTCGCACTTATATTAGCTGGGGTTTTAGTTAGCACAAAATATCGTTTAAACATATTTATTTCCATTTTAAATTTTAAATCAAAGCTCAAACTAGTGGAGTGTTTTTTTTTTAATATTCCTTAAATTGAAAAAAGAAAAGAAAAACACAGAACAGGTGAAAGTGATGGGACTTGCTAATAATGTAATGTCCCAATTCGACATTGGAAACAAAAGAGAACATAGGGTTATAGTTCCATTGGATTCGTCTAGAATTTGATTCATTTGGGTCTGCTTGCTTCTGCTAAAATTACCATTTTAACATCCCCATTTGTTCATATACTAATTTCGGGGTTTTTTTTCTCTAAAAACAATGGGATGTGAATAATATTAAAAAAAAAAAAAAGGGAAACACCAGCGGTTTAGGTTCGAATTGGACAACTGATCCATTTTTTTTAAGATGTCGGCCCAAGGATACTGTATACAGTTCTCTTTGGTCTCCACTTTCGCTTTGGGCTCCCTAACTATGTTTAAGGGCCTTTAATTATTGAACACAATAAAACCTTTTAATTACAATTAAGCTCTCTAATCCAACAAAGAAATAGTTTAGGTCTTGCTTAATTTTGTGAGGCAGAATTACGGATTTCTCTGATTTTATATTTATGCGTTTATCCTCCAATCTCATCTCCATACGACGTAATCTTCTGTGTTTTTTTTTCTATAAAATTATTAAATATTAATTTCAGTTACTCCTAATCATATACATATATATAAGATAAAAAAAAAAAGAGGAGAAGTACCAACCTATGATCGCAAACATTCAGTTAACCAATTACACCCAAAAAAAACATTCACCGGACCAATTCATGAATTATCCACACATCACACGGGTTCTTCAAGAACATAGCCGTTTGTTCGTTCCGGAGTTTTCATGTCCTGCTTAGACAGAGAATGCGATATCTTATGTAACATATATTAGAAATTCAATTTTTATATGAGCATATCTTCCCACATAAATTCACACAAGTAGAATTTTGAATCAGCACCATTCAAAAAGCTAGAAAAAACACTCAAGGAACTACGATCTGGAGCACATGTAAATATGATATATATGCGTACATGTGTGTTCATATCGATGTATTAATGTAAGTACATGTTGTGTCTTGAAGTTGAAACTGGGAATCCGCAAGAGGCAAGTAAGCAAATGGTACCGACCGATCGGTGACATTTGCCAGCGATGCCTTCGGGCTCAAATAATCTATTCCAATTTTTTTTTGGAGCTACCAAATGACCGCTTCTCCCGGAGGACTTTGGCCGCCCAAGCCTTTATATAAACCATATATTATAAGATTCATATATAATTAATATTTTAATCGTTTACCAATTCTCTCTCTCTCTCTCCCTCGGAATGGAGGGTCGTCGTTTATCTTCTCTGCACTCGTCTTTGTGTCCACAACCACTCTTTAATAACACTATGCTTTGTCTTTTCGCTTTGTGCAAATCAAAACATTAATTGGTTTATGCCCTAATCGCTTCATTAATTTCGCTCTCATCTCTCTCTCTTCCTCTCGTGTACGTAAAGATCTAAGCTCTAAATGGTTCAAAAATTTAGAGAGAGAAAACAAATAGACGGTGCTTCATGATGATTCCTTTCGTGTGCGGACCACCCTCTGCCTCTATACCCACAAGATTCGGTTCCCTGTAGCTTTTATTCTTCACTCAGTGGTTCATTATAACTTAATTTAGCATAAGAAGAACCTCACCTTGTGAAACAAATGTTATGATTACAGTAATTTCATTCATTAAGAACCAACATTTATAATTGTTCCCATCTAAGCCCTAATCTATTAGCCAATATGTATGTGATGCAATCTCAAATCGGATGCAAACAAAATTGTGTTTCAGTCGGCTGGGACGAGCGTGGTGAGGCGATCGAAGTTGCACATGGAGGGATGGATGGAGCCAGACATGAGGCCGATCCGACCAATTTTGAATTCGGTTTAGTAAATGGAAAACTGGGTTTAGGATTCTCAAATCGAATTAAATTTTGAACAAAAAAAATGTTGATGTGACAAAAATTCATTTAAACTTGAACACGCTGATATCAGCATTCCGGACCAACGCGGATTTTCGGTCGTCTGAAAATTTGGTCAAATCGGTTAACGGTTTATTAGAGCAACAATTTGTATGTTCGAAGTTTTATTCAATTACAAATTGTAAGTTTGGGTATTAAATGACAACTTTACAAGTTGAATATTTATTTATATACGTTTTACCAAGTTGTAGGTTTTTGAGGGAGTTTATCCGAAATTTAACATATAGTAGCATGCACTGCATTTTTTTAATATAAGATATACTAAGAATGATTTGGTATAATATATAAGTATTGGCTATATATTACAATCAAAATTGTTTAATATGTTTATATAGATATCACGTACATATTTACGTATATATACATGATTTATATTTGAAACGTATGACGTATATGTATATTTGTATACAAATTATACATTAGATTTGTCACTTTGTGTACGTGAATTTGTATTTATGTATATGTATATACATACTGGCAAGCATGTGTATATATAGAGTTCAACGATATTATATTTCGTTTTACTTGGTCTTTTCAACATTTCATAGACGCGTTCACCTACATATATGTATGTGTGTGTCTATTTATCTTGATATATGTGTAATGGATATTTGAGCTCCAGGAATCGCACGTGACCACATGGGCTAGCCTGCTTTTTTTGTCTCCGCGAGTATTCCACGTGGCACTTTTTGAGTCACCGAAGGGTTGGGTGCACGTGATGCGTTTGTCCACGTGTCCAGCTCCTGCTTCGTCTAGAAAAAAAAGCACACGAACACAAGTTTTACAAATTTTTTTGGTTAAAGATGATTAAAAAAACACACAAATAATGAAAAAGATAATTAAACAAGAGCGAAAAAAAATAGTAAAGGACAACTAAAGAATCTGAAAGGCAACGAACGAAATTGAAAATTATACCTTTAAATAAAATATCTAATGAAATACAAAAATTAAATACAAATTACACCTAAGTTTTTTTTTTCAGATTCATTAGTTGTCTTTTAGTATTTTTTTTTCTCGGTTATCCTTAAAAAAAATATTTAATGGAATACAAAAATCGAATACAGATTACACCCATGTTGTTGGAGATTCATAGATTAATAGCTTAAAACATTAAATTTTTTTTTATAGTTTTTAAGTTTGGTAGTTGATAATTAGTATGGATTAACAGTGATTATTAAAATAAATATATGTGCATCCCTAGAACACGCACGGGACAAAGCCGCTTATCTCTTACAAAACCAAAGATATAAAATGGGTAAACATTATCATATATGTTCAAAAGTTTAGTTGAAATTAATTTTGCCTCAGTTGAATTTTAACTGAACAATTGTTTTATTGTTCTTGTTTGTTACTGCTTATTTGTATATTATGTTCTCTGCATGGTCGGCAGTCAAAATAAGCAATATTCAAACAGTTCGAGCATTTTTTTATAATTTTTTATATTAGCATCGCGTTCAACATTATATATATATATATATATATATATATATATATAATTCGTCTTATTTTTAAAAATTGGATAAATTAAAAAAATTACGCATTAGGAATTTGGTCATGTTTTATGGTATTAAAGTATATATTTATTTAAAACCTTTGGTCATGGCTTTTAATCTAATTGAATCCCAATTATCAAGATCATTGCCGGTTGATATCAATGATCAAATAAAAACAAA